TTGAATTTCATTGTATAGTAAAAGGTTTTGTTAAAATAAGTGAGGAATGTTTTTTTTTCTTTCTTTACACAAAAAATTATAAATATATGAAATAACAGTTTACTAAAGATGAAACATAAAAGAAAATGTTTTTATAGCAAAAAAAATATGATAATATAATGTTACTGTTATAATGTATACTGACATCATGACGCAATGTTGAAGCAACCAGCAGCCTACATCTACCCAAGAATTCAGAATAGAAGTGGAACATACTGATGGTCTTTCAGTTCCTCCAGCCTTCAGGTAGTAAGATGCCATATCTTATATTTCACTTTCCATTGCTACTTTTCCGCCAGGGCGTCTCCACTAAGTAGTGCCTTCGATAACAGACTTGGAGTGATCACTCCTGTAAGGAACTGGCTTTTTAGCTGGAGTTGAAGTCCTACCTTCTGTGGTGTGATACTTAACGGTCTACTAACTAACTATTAAATAGGCGAGAAATAGAGCGTGTTGTGCTCAAGTTTTGCGGCATCCTACAGGATTTATTCATTTATTTATAACTGGTAGGGCCGACATCTTTGATAAATTTGCTTAACCTAGAGGATTGCAACAGTAAGCCAGTTACTAATCCCCACGTTTAGTTCAATACATAGTTAATTTAAATTTTAAGCAGCTTGAAGCACGCTTTACCATATGAGTAATCAACGTTAGGAAAGATAAATAGATAGATAGATAAATGATTTATTTGTACACCAGGGTTTTACAGACTTTATAAAGTAATTAACAACATTTCCTAGGATTTCGTAGGACTTCAAAAAGTGCTTACTTATTTTTTTAATATGCGCAGAATGGTAAACACAATCCATAAACTACATTTTTTATATTTTTGCAGTACAGCTTTTATGAATATTATAACTTTTATGTCAGCTATAAAAATCACAGATGGATATTTTCATAATCGCTTTTAGAAGGTAGGTGGTGCAATATATAAATTTGATTAATATATTTTCTCAAACGTCACAAACGGATGTTGATCATAACTCAATTTAACAGTAAAGCTGACTAACTAACATTTGTGGTGATGATAAAGGAAAAACTAAATTTGCCAACCAGTATATTGATACAAACAACAACGATTGTTCTATCACCGAACGATACTTTAATAGACAACAAGCCAACTGAGTATGTTTTACTTGTGTAGATATATCATAGCTAGGTAATTTACTTTTTCAAACTCTATAATATTATAATACTCTACAATAACGATTAGCTTATCATCCCTCGCTTTGACTCATACTCGTAATGTGTTTGTTGGGAAAAAACTTATTACCTACAAATAAATCTGTCTTTGTTTTGGGAAGAGACAATATAAAAAGTTTGTTCCTCATTTCTATTGTCATATTAACTTTCAATAAATATTTTCCTTTTTGTCTGATACTCTATCCATCTCATTTAAATTCTTTCTTTTATTTCTTTATATGTATTTATACTCTGGAAATAAATAACTTGTTTTCATATATAACAGCTGCTTTCAGTTTTTGTATCAGTTTCGATGATAGCTATTTCCAATTTGCTACTACGCAGATATACTTTGTCGTTTTGCATTGGAATACATGCTTAAGTTTCTTCTTGTTTATGCTCCGTAATAAACTTAATTGCATCATCATCATCTGCCTACCCTTATCTTTATTATCTTTTTGGTCTGCGCAGTAAGTATGATTCTTCCATTCTAATCTATCTTCTTCTTAGCGTGTCGATGACAATTCAAATTGAGTCGGCCCAAAATTTGGCGACGAGTTCCGCACTCTCAGTAGCCTCCATCAGTTCCTGTGATGTGCAAGTAACAGGACAGGCTGGACACGATATCAAGTGCCCCATAGTTTGTGGGGCAAGACCACATTTACACTCCAGGGCAGAGTCATCTATGAATCTCCACCTGAACAGGTTTTCTTTGCTTCGGCCTACCTGTGTCCGGAGTCTGTTTAGAGACTTCCAGGTCAGCCATGGCAACTCGTGTCCAGGTGGAAGATTTTCGGCAAGTGGCACAAATGGGTTGGGTAAGGAAACGCTATTCTATTCTAATCTATCATTTGTTATCTCACTGTTTACTCCCTTCCTAGTCTTCGTCCATCCCCTTTTTCCTTGATATTCCTCTTTTCTTGTACCCTTCAACTCCTATAATACCTAACACTTTCTTCGCCAAATTTTCCTCATCCCTCCATCCTTCGTCCTCCATGTTATATAAAAATTGACTTACCGGCTAATTGACCGACTCGACGCAATTTTAGAATGCATTTTTTCGGTCGGGTCGGCTTTAAGTCTACTACGATATGGCTGAACTTCGATTGTTTACGTGGAGTGACTGCCATCAGATCTCCACAACCGAAGCACTACACGATATCAAAGTTCTGTAGATAGACTCTTGTCAGACTTTTTGGGGCTCCCACTACCCGTAATGCTTGAAATATTTTTAAATATAGTCAGCAAAATACACACAGGTGTATTTAGTTTTGAGTTTCCTTTGCACTGAAAGCTATAAAGATGTTATTTTTTATTTATTCCTGGTATTAACCCATCGGACAACCATGCGTGCGATAAATTTACTTTTACACGCACGGCGACCCCAAAACCCATCTCCCTTCGGAATTCCGCCTGTACTTTATTTAAGCTATAATATAATAACTCAATACCACATCTATTTAAATTGTTGCTGAAATGTATTTATAATTAGATTTTCAACTATATATTATTAAACAATATTAAATGAATGTGTTATGCGATTTTCTTACTTTTTTCAATTATACGATAAAAGCATGCTTATTACTAACTTCTGAACTTTGGCGTTCCATGACAATTTAAGACATAAGCACCGCCTCAAGCTCATTCAGCCTGTCCGTGACCACAGTTAGCGTATACAGTTTATTCGAAACGTCACATATGAAATGTCAATGAAATACGCGATCGCATTAAGTTCCGTCAACATATTAAAATGCTTATTATTTTAACACCTATCATTTAAAGATTATTTATCCAATATATATGAGTATGTTTTAAAAAACACTTTTGTTTTCTATGCTATAATAAAATTAAAGTTAGGTTCACTTCATACCTATTAAATACTTGCTCAGGTTCATATTGATAAGAAAACATAAGTAACTTTTAGTCTTTGTCAATTACTCATTTCTACAGATGTCAAATAGGTTTGTTTGAAACTGAAAAACAAAGCATAATTATAAAACTGCTATTTGGTTAAGAATCAAGTATTTTCGAATACTTATGAACACTAACTTGGGATAATTGCCCAAAGATTTCTTCTATATGCTAGTGATCCATCTTAGTGTGACGTCTTCTACTGACGGTTTTGATAGATTTTCGATGGCTCACTTTTGACCTTACAAAGTTTGCGGAGGTAGTAATTAATACATTATATAATAACAAATATTGCTGCATTATAAATTAAATTATACAGAATTTTCCTAGCATCGTTGAATTATTTAATTTAACGGCGATACGAAAATACTGTAAAATTTTGTATTTCTTATCGTATTTTTGAAGTGCTGCTGATTAAACGCCTCTAACAGGTCGGGCATACAGGTACGCGAACCCCTGGCCTTTTGGAGTGACTGTAGTCTTAATTTTGTTATTTAATCCAAAAATTAAAATAACGCCAGTAACTTGCATTGTACTATACTTAAGTTATATAGTTTTTTTACGACTTCAGATTTCCTTTAGAAGTTGTTTCCTAGATTTATGTGAACGGGTGAAGTATATTATAATTTTACTTATTTTGTGATGGTAACACTTGTATAGTGTTTGCATGCTCTCTTTAGCTGAGAACAGGCTCCGCCTTGCATGTAAGTAATCTGCTGTTTAATAAAAACGTAACAATTTTTAAATTTCATTATGAATGATATGATTAAAATAAAACAAGATAGTACTTTACTTTATTATTCAAATATTTACCAGGAATAGTCAATCGTAAACTCGATGCTAAAATTTACCCTTATTACTTGATTGACCTATAAAAACCTATTTGACGACATTGCGTGTAAAATTATATTGGGAATAAAACCCTATAATTTTATTTCTAGAGATACAAAAGCGACTATATTTAACATTAATCTTGGATTCAATAAACTAAAAACTGCAAAGTAGTCTGAGTTTGCTTCGTATTTCCTCGACTCATATTAATTAACGTCAGAAATGAGAGAATTAATATTCTGTAATTAACCCCTCTCCACAACTATTGTTGATTAATGAATTGATAACTCTATAGTTTGCACGTTATGAGTTGTTACATGGATACATTGAGATCTTGATATACCTTAAGGCAATGTCAAACATAATCTATGATTATTACAACTTGATTAGTGATGTAAGCAGTCATAAATAACAATCACTTTTTGTCACCGTTACAACATCGTTAGTTTTTAGACTACAAACCTTCTTTCACAAACAATGAAAACTCATAATAAAATGATGGATGGAATCCACTGAACAAAAGTAATTGTTTTTTTTAAGTTTTATGGTCTTCCTAAAAAATCTTTATAATAGAATTTGATAAGATTAAAAACAAAAAACGCATTTTTTAAACATTTTGTTGTGGGGTTTAGAGAAGTAAATAAAACGCTTTATAAATAAATTATTATAGCATATCTTAGAATTGTTGTTACTTACGGACCCTTGATAAGCTACCTACTTAAGGAACTAATAGCGTTTTAGTTTATGATTGAATAATCAGACCTTTAGAGTTTTAGAGAAGTCTAAAACTTGCATATCTTAATTAGAAATATAATTCTATATATATCTTTACACCAAATTTAGATGACGTATAAAGATTTAATCCTGTATATTAATATCATTAAACGTTGTTCATTATACCTTTCCATAAATCTCATAAGATGCCTGTCAGATTTCATTTAGGGCTATTAATGATCCCCGCTCTACGGGACGTATTTTAATAACATTATAGCATCGTAACTTGTAGATTCATTGACATTTTTTTGTTACAGGCAAAAATGTCAGCCCCAACAACGGATAGTACTGAAGCTATCACTAATTCCGGCTATGGAAGCAGCGACGAAACAGCCAGTCTACTCGTCACTGGGCCTTCTGTCACCGTAATAGTTCCGTCAGAAAACAGAAGCGTTAAACCAGTATTGCAAAGACAGGACTGTACAACACACTTGAGGCCACAACTTTCGGGAGGTCCGGGTAGCGAAGAAAGTGCCACATCTATCAGAATTGAAGATCAGGCTGCCAGAAGTGTTCCTGATATCGAATTACAATGTCGCGATCTCCCTGCAGACCGACCACAAACACTCATCTCTCCTGTAGCGACATGTTCGCATAGAGGGTCAGTGACCGCTTGCCAATTAGTTCCACAAACATATTCGAGATGCCGCGTTTGCGAACGGCGGCAATCTACAGCGCCGATGTCGGCGTTGCAACTAGCGCGCTCTGTGTCGCGAGAAAGCGTTCGTTCTATCTTACAATATCCTTGTGGATGTAGTTCGCTCCACACTGTCAGCACATGTCCAGTGATACAACCACCGGCGCTACTGTTGCCTACAACAAGTGCGAGAATCATCCGACAGAGTTCACAGCCGGAGTCTAGCGCATGCGCGGCACACTGCCCTCACCACGCCCACCATCACCCCAGCGCCTCATTGCGACAGTTACGAGAACCAGGGGATGGCATCGCGGGTATTGCCGCCGATTCACTGCGTATCAACGGAGGCATGCGCCCTTTCAAACAGGTAAGCCTGAAGTTCCCTAGATGGCGTCATTAGTTAGGATTTATTTTGTTTCATTCATTAAGCTGCTATATAAAAAAACGCAAGCCCACTCTTTAGGCAAACATAATATTTGTGTCACATACATTTGTAGTATATCAGGTTAATAATATAAGATTATTGTAATAATACATTTGTAGGAATTGTAAACTAACTAAGTAGTTATTGGAAAGGCATTATTTGAAACCAACAGTAAAAATAACCCAGGTAAGCGCTAGGTGAAATGGTGAATAAAACAGCTGTACAAAGTAAATATTACCAAATGGCTTCCACTCATAGAACGAGACAAAACTTTTTCCATAAATTCTGCCAAAATTTACTTTTTTAATGTATAGCTGAACTCATGGTCATCTTATGGTATACGTTTTAAACAAAGCAAAAAGTAGACGTTTTTAACTTTGTGTAATAATCAAACATTGACGGAATGTTCTTTTTTGTACTTGCATTTTGGAAACTGTTCCAACGGAAGAAGACGTTTAAAATATTGTAGTAATTTTTCGATTTTCAAACAAATTTTAAGAATGAACACTACGAAATTTTTATAAAAATATTGAAAACTACATACGATACAAGTGTACATTGTTTTGGTGTTGTGTGGTGTGTAGCAAGATTATTTCATGTTTTATTCGATGGTTCCTTCCATATGGTCCTCTTCCATAAATTCCCAAATCCTAGAGAATGTCTTATCCTGGCTCATTTTATTTATTTAAAGCAGATGGCGTGTACGTGCTGTGTAAGGGTCTTGGTGGGTTGTCCCTTTTAATAAAATCAAATCAAATGCATTCAAATTTGATTTGGTTTCTGTTTTTAACCTACAGGGGCTGCTCCTCTGTCCTCAAACCCTGTCGCAGACGCGCCGAGCCCGGCTGAGACGTGCATTCACTGAAGCCACAGGGGATACTGTTAACTACGTTAAAACGGTGGGCTTCAAACTATTGGATTATGCACAGTCGAATACCACTAACGATTGTACAACCTATATTCTAAAACTATCTCTCTAAAAGATCGAAATTGATAAAATGTTAACTTTTCAAGACATTCACAAACAGGCGCTATCTCAAGAAGACATTTTACTTTGTGATAATTAGTTCAGCATGTTAGCCAATTAGATAGAACACACGAAGCAGACATATATCAATTTTAGATAATCCTTTCGACGATATAAGGTTGTACAGTCGACACTCAGGTATCTGTGAATTGATCACCAAAGTAATTTGTTAGTTGGCGAATGTGTCGTCCCTATAGCTTCGTCTAATGACCACCGTTAGCTGTCCCCCCACGCCCCTGACATCTTACCCTAGCACTAAAATTGCTTGTCACGAACAAATCGTTTTCTGTTCATCACTTTACCAAAGCAAAAATGTCATCGTATCATCGAGCACATTTATTCGAAACTTGACAAATTGGCTTTGAATGTCGAGTGTCTTAAAGGATATAAAGGCAGGTACATCATTATTTTGTTTCATTTTTTCAACATCGATCATGAGTTACTGTTTGGTGGATTAATTCAAGACGTCAAAAAATTAAAGGAAAATGTTTTGTCATTGCTTTGGGAACCCATTACTCAAGCAAAATACACAGCACCTACACAATCATTAGTTAGCCATTCATTCGCATAATATTGATGGATATAGGTAGCGCTATGCACTTTAGATCGATGATTAGATTGCACGGAATCGAAGCTTGCGATATTATTAGATGACGTTCACTTTTTTCTGTTGCTTTTGAGTAATAGGTTTATGATATTATTTTGTTATATTAATTTGATATAAGGTAAGACGCTCAAAATATGATACCGTTATATGTAGAACCTGCCAAGTCTGTGAATTTTATAGTTTTAACTGATTTTGCATATAGTAAGATCTTGAACAAAATAAATCAGCTGTATTATTTTACATCGCTTCTCGGTTTCGAAGAAATTAAATTTCATAAAGATATTAAAAGCGCTCGTCTCAAATTATATGAAACGACAAAAAGGCTTGCATTCGTAAAGGTTTTCTTTTGCAAAAGATATATAAAATTAAAGTTTCTTCAAATAAAACAAGTTTACAAAAACCTGCAGATTTTAAAGTTTTACATAAAAGTAAAGGCCTTCGCATGCAAAGTCAAAAAGCGTGATATTGAAGATAAATGTAAATCAAAGCAACATCAATTTCACGTCAGACTATAAAGTGGATGTACTTCATTTTCTTAATATAAGCGTTTATGCATAATACTATTACATATTTTTTATGAGGTAATCAAGCATTTCAAGGTAATGACTTCCCTCGTTACTATATTTTTAAGAGTATTACGTCAACTATTCCGTGATGAGCTTAATATTAGACAGTTGTTATTTAATTTGGCGTTGGACCAGACGTTTAGGCGGCTTAATATAAATATTTAACTGACACAGATTTGACGTGCATAAATAATAATTTAAACATGTGCCATGATTTTAGCGACCGAGTTTGTCGAATAGGTTTTTCCGGTCAATATAAAAATAATACAACACAAGAAAATATGAATCCCATTGTAACCTGAACAAAGCCCAGCTACTCTAAACTAGTATAATAAAAATCATATATATTTGGAAGTGAAAGGGTGTATTGACAACAAATAATCATCGCTCAAACTCTGGAGAGACTGGTAATCTGTCATATAGAAGAACCTAGTACAGACACCAGTCTCTCATATAGATGTAATGCAATTACACTATGTATCCATTTGTGTAAGAGACCAAAAAAAGTTATTATTACTATAGCAATCGTATACGTATGTGTGTGTGCAAAAAATGCTAAAACAAATAAAAAGTTTTTTTATATTGAATTTATTACTTTAGGCTACAGAATATAGGAAGTTACTTGGACAATTGTGTCCATTTATTTTAAATTCTGTTACGATACGTAATTAAAGTTCAGTTCCTGTAAACATATGTGTCACCTGTAAAAATAAGCTAAGAAATTGACATGAAATAAACAAATATAAATAATTGCACACGAGTATTTACATACATGATTATTCCTCGTCGAGGCATGCTCACTTAAACGCGTGGCCCACGAGATAATTGTCGCAAGAACTACCGGTCGATAACAACCACCGTAAAAAAGCGCTTTCGTTTATTATATATATAAAGGTTAGGCACGCTTTAAACGTATTGTCATCTAAGTATATCTTTCTAAGGTAAAATTTTATTAATTAATCGCCAGAATAAGCTATCTGTTCAGCTAGTTAGTAAAGCATACTGAAATTAAATTAAATGAGTTTACCCAAGTAATGTATTAATCATTTTCTAAGGCTGTAAACACTTTTATGGCTTTGGGAACATTGCTAAATTTAAGCTACATGTCTAATAAACTTTTTGAAAATCTGCTCGTTTTATAGAAACATCCAAATAAATTCTATAGCAATAAACTATTCTAGATTATTCTTAATCAATCAAATTCTTCAGGTTTATCTTTATTATACTTCTATTTTTATTACTGTTAGCAACTACAAATTTCAAAATATTTGTGTAATTATTAGAATAGCAAGCAAAACCAAAAAAAGTTACTTAATGTACTTTATATCAACTGTACCTACATCTTTTATACAAACTTAATGGGTTTGTCAGATTTTTATGACTAACAACCTGAATTTGGCGCATAAGCTTCATCTGCATTCAGACCTCCTGCTAATTATCTAATTAAAAATACGGTAACTGGCTTTAAACGTACAGATAAATTGTATACATGTTGATAAAAAATATACTTTAAAACTATTTTTATTACTAAAACATGTCGTAACCTTATAGAAAATTTGGGATTTTAAAAATAATAGCTTTCTATAATATTCCTCCACTTTAGTAAAAGAAAAACTCATGATGTTTTAAATTCTCAGAACGTCGTTTCCTACCACAACATTTGAATTATAAACCAATTTCTCTTTGTACGTTCAACATTGTCCTCGTGTACTCTGAATAATTTTTATACAACTGCTAAAGGAAAAATAGGACGTTGCCTCTGAACTTTCTACAGAATTCGCGTCATCAATTTTTAAAATACAACGTCGGATCTACAAAGTGGTATTATTATTGCACTAAATATGTACATTCTTACTGTATATTCTCTTACCTTTAGATTAAAGTTACATAGTATATTACACAAGAGAAAGACGATGCTGTTATTAAAAATAGATACACTTTGTTTGAACATCATTGCTAATGTTGAATTGAGGTATTTATGGTAAATGTCAAACAAATAATGTGGGTATATAGAGTTTTTAAGTTACATATCGAAAATCAAGGCAATCCTTACTATGCGAAAGTGTCATCTTTAGCTAATGACACAATAAATCTGACTATTCAGAGGGTGTATAAAGCTCACTTTACGTAGTTTGCCTTTCATGCGTTGATACGAAGTTACTTGCTCGTGCCCGGTCAATATACATTGCTTAATTTAGTCATTGGAAGAAACTTAGACAAAAACACATTTAGCCAATTTACTACATGCATATGCAAATCGTTAGCAAATTTGGCGAATACGTGGGACATAGAATTAACTTTAGAAAATCTAAAAAACATAATCTATACGCCCCTTTTTACTAAATGTTTTCAACTACACGCAACTAGTTTACAGAGTCACTTTATGCAAAGTCTGATTACAGTTTTATAGTTTAGATTAAATGTGATAAATAATACATTTATCAAATAGATGGACTACAATTTATAAAACTTCAATCTTAAACTTCTGCAATCTTTAATTTTTTTTTAAATACAAGCTCAACTAACTTACGTAATTACAATATCTTTACTTACCCTTAAAATAATTTACCAACAATTTAATAACTACAGCTAATACTAAAATATTTATGAACATAAATAGCTAACTATCAATATCGTTATCGTTGTGCGAAAATTTCTTTTCAAACTGATTAGTTTTAATCAATTATTTTAGGTAATTTCGTTGACTATTAATTTTATTAAATTTATGATAATTTCCGATAAGAACTTCATAATTTTTAAACTTTTTTTATTCGAATTATGTAGTACGTCAATTACCAAACGTAACGAGCTGTGATGGTAGAACTTATGCATAATGATATGATATATAGAGTGAGACCTTGTGATTAATGGTGATTGAAATAGAATGGCTACGAGTTTTATTCAGTATTTCTTTTGTTGTATTTATTTACTTTCGATATTTGACACGTCTAATGATCAAGTAACATTACTTTTGAACTACAAAAACTTATTCTTTATCTTGCAAATCAAATCGATCAATCAATTCATGTCTATTAATATTTATAACATTAAAGACCAATACTCCTATTACAGATAATTTGGAAATTAGTATGCAGGTAATACGAAGCTATGTCTCTATCGGTAAGGGTGTTCAATTGGAAAATTACATTAGAGCCACTAATCCGGCGCTAATACCTCAAATTTATTCGGCGTGCATTTGATTGTAATCTGGTGAAATTTCGAAATATTGAAGTATGATTAGTATTGTGGATATATGCATACAATGAAACTAGAATAATGTACAAACCCAACCAAACAAGCGACGGATAACGTTGTTTTATTAGACGTATGATATTTAATTCTCTTTGCTTATTTAGGCTGGCTCAAGTAAGTAATTAGATCTGGGACTTAGTGTTGAATCTCCCAAATGTTATTATTTTAGATGGAATAAAACACCATCATTTGCTAATTTATCTTCTGTGTTTGGTTACATTCTTAAAAAAGTAATGATTTAATCCCGCATTTTTATCTTATTATCAATGTTTATTGTAGATTGGTAGAATTTAGTTAAATAAAATGAACATTGTAAAACAGTTTAAAAAATAATAATAGAAATAATGTAAAGTGATAAAATAGAAGCATCTTTACGATTGTATAGAGGCATCTTAACTATTTGGCACTGAGCTAAAATCTTATCAAAACATCTTTATGCGAGCCACTGGCTCAGACGAACGTGTACTTGTCGTAGAAAAAAATGCTGTTCAAATTAATGTTCTCTAATTAAGCAAATGCAATCATTGT